GTTCTCAGCCTACAGGGCCATGGCATCGAGACCTTGTATGGCAGCTGTGATGAACATCAGGGCAGTGCTCACACCAGACTGGGGTCCAAGGCGTCTCTTGAGATGAATGTGCTCTTGGACATGTCCAATGCCCCTTTTGCCAAATTAGGCAACTGTTCGATTTAGGTCTGAACAAGTTAGAGATTATGCAAAGGTCGTAAAGTTGTTCTGCTTTACCCTGATCTTTTTTCTTAATTACTATAGTAGAAAAAAATAATTCCACAGCTTTGTGATTAACTTATTATCTGAAAAGTTAAGGGTTTAGGGCAAAGGGGAAGGAGTGGGATTTGGCTAACTGTTCGAATTATCTATTATTTTAACCCTTGTAGAAAACCCTTCCAAAATGCATGAGACCTCCTTTCCTTGATAAGTAGGGTGAACCCAGTCAAATCTTTGAGTCTTCCAGAATCTTCCTCACGGGACCATGTTGCAAATTTAGATGTGAATGTTCTTGATAGACATTAGGTATTTTAAATATGAAATTGATTTTGAGTATGTATACTTATCTCGGACATACCTTAAATGTGGCTTTTAAAACCAGTATTCTTAGTATACTAGAAAGAGGAAAGACCATGGGCTTTAGAATCAGACAGACCTGGGTTCAAATTGCAACTCTACTTTTCTGGCTGTGTGACCTTGGGCAAGTTAATTAACCTTTCTGAACATCTTTTCCCTCAACTTTAAAATTCTTACCTATCTTCCAGGGCTCTCGCTTGACTTTATTTTTTATCTGTTAATAATGAAGTCAGACAAGAGCCCTGTCATTCTGAGAAACAATTATTTTTTGAGAAATACTATATGATGGCACTGGGGACCCTGAAGTAGGTGTTTCACTCATCTATTGTTGTGCAATAAATCACCCCAAAACTTAGTGGCTTAAAACAACAAGGGTTATTTCTCACAGCTGTGTGGGTTGGCTGTGCAGTCTTTCTGCTGGTCTTTTTGGAGGGTGTGTGGGGAGAGCTGGGCGTCTCTCTCCACATGGCTTTTCATCCTCAAAGAGGCCAGACTGGGTGCCTCACATGGTGGTGTTAGGGTTCCCACAGGGTGAAAATGGGAACCACAAAACCTGTTGTGACCTGGGTTCAGAAATCCCACACCAGCACTGTCACCTCATTCCACTGGAAAAGCAAGCCATGAGACCCACAAGTGATTTCAGTACCTGAAGTGCTGTGAAAGACAATCACAGCTAAGACAGAGAATAGGAGAGGAAGCGGGGAAGCCCATTTGCACAAGTTGGTTGGGGGAGACCTTGCTAGGAGTTGACTTTGAACTGAGACCTGAAGGATGAGGAAGAACCCAGTGGGGAGTTGGGGGTCGGAATTACAGGCAAAGGGAACTGAGAGGTAGGAGAGCACTTGTTTGCAGACTAGAAGCAGCCTGACTGATGGGAAAGCCTTGTGCCTGGAGGATTAAGTGAGGCAATCTGAGGGAAGCCCCTGAAAGCCACATCGGGTACATAGTAGGGCTAAATTTATGTTTGTTTCTTTTATGGTAAAAAGAAACAATGGAAGGTAGAAATATGTTTAATTCAAGGTTGTCATTAGACAGAAATCTATTAAATTGAAGTTTTACTGTACAAGGCTCAGATTTGGGAAAAAATAAAGCGTTTCCACGGGGTAGATGTTAAAAGATTGTAGCTGTTTTGCAAACTAATGCCTACCCTGCGTGTTTCTTAGTGGCATCTCTGACCTTTCCTGAATATTTGTTTTGTTTCTCTGTAAGATGTGTGATCTTTGGGCTTAAGAATGTCTGTAAGTCATAAGTAACATATAATCTATGTTTCCATGATGGAAATCTGGGGGAAGGGAGAGACTGACAAAGGAATGGTGAAGGGAAACCCCCCTGAAAGACCCTTCTCCTTCACAGGGTGTGACTGTGACTGGGAAGGAGTTCTCCCTGAAATATGTGATGCCCATGGAAGATGCCTGTGCCGCCCTGGGGTTGAGGGCCCTCGGTGTGATGCCTGCCGCACAGGTTTCTACTCATTCCCTATTTGCCAAGGTAAGTGGGCAACACGTTGCATTGTGATCATCCACCTCCCAAGATAAATTTCCTCCTAAGGGAATGAAAGGCTCTTTCTGGCAGAGCTGTGTGGCCTGCAGTTTAATAAATGATCCCCTGGCTTCTATGCATATATGTGTGTTACATAGGACCGTCCTCTTACCTGGGCCATGTCACCTGCCTTCTTTTGCTTTTCCAAACCTACTTTGCCTCCTTCCCGGTGGTCAAGCGTAAGGGCTTCGGAGTCCGCGGACTAGGTGCAAATCCTGGCTCTGGAGAAAGGTGGTCCCTGAGCAGTGTTTAGGGACTTGCCAGGTAGACAAGGAGAGGAGGCAGGGCGTTCCAGGGAGAGGAACAGCATACACAAACCACAAACTCCTCCCTTCCCACTGTTCTGTGTCTTAGTATCCCATCCTAGTATGAGTCACCGAAGGGGATGGAGGGTCGGAGGAGGAGGTGTCTGGCCCGGTCGCTAGAGCATAATAGGTGTGTGGTAAATGGGGGTTGAATAAGCAAATGAGTGAATGAATTTGTCCAAGTTCTTTTCTGCCTCCTCCCCACTGCCTGCCCTTGTTCTTCTTCCAGTGGCTGATGTGGGGAAAGGGAGGGGAGAGAAGAAGAGAAGGTTATCCATCAGGGCTCAGAACAGGAGCTCAATACCACCGCAGGTATTATAGACAGACAGGGACTTGCTATGGGTAATTAGGAGCTAACCCGAGTTGTTAAGGGCTCCCGATAGAGTGGCTGAGTGTTAAGCCCAGACTGCTGTAGTGCAGCTCAAGGACAGAAGACTGCAGCCCTGCTGTCTCCACGGCCATCTCTTGGCACCCAGGAAGTCAGACTGGGTCCAGCTCAGAAACGCTCAACAAGCCACAGGAAGACAGCCTCCTTCTGACTTTCCACCTTTCAAATCTTATTTGAGTCCTTATTTGCAAAACCCAGCTGGCATCCAGACATTCAGAACCCCACTTCAGGAGAGACTCTTGGAAGTGCTGTTTCTAGCTTTCCAGCTTCTGTTGAAGGCTAGAATTGGTATTGAGCCATCTTGTCCACAAGGTCAGCAACATAAGGAACTGTGCATATGGGACAGGAGCAGGAAAAACCTTTCTGGGAGCTGGTGGACAAAGTGGCAAAGAGTAAGGTTTGCACTGGCTACCAACATGGCAACTTACTTAACCCCTCTGATCCTCAGTTTCCTAATAATAGTGCCCGCTCTGTAATGTGTTGTGCAGGTTACATATGCACTGACGTGTAAAGCCCCTATAACTTGGGAAGCGCTCACTTGTATGGTAGTTATTATTCCTTCTGCCTTCTGCCCCATATTGACCTCTGTATCATTTTAAGAACCTGCAGCCCTAATCCTGATTGATCTCCCTATTTGCATAGATATCCGTGTGTCACATCCCAAACCCCTCCTTTTCCTCCTGCCCCCTGGCATGCCCTGTTCATGGACCTCTAATCCTCTGACTCCACTTCTCAGCCTTTGTCTCTCTGGGACCACAGAAGCTCTTGGCAGTCACTGCCCAGAGATTTGGTCGCCTGGCAGGTGGGAAGGTAAGGAAAGGAAGGGGGTATTTTTTCTTTTTCTGCCTTGACCTCAACCAGAGAAATTTAGTATTAGAAGTTGGAAAGCCCAAGGCATTTCCCATGGAAACATCAGCACACATGTTGCTAATTTTTAAACTGTGTGACTCACACTAGAGATAGATTTTGTGCTAAACGGGCTTTGTGGTCTGGGGTGATAACCTTGTCCTTATATATAATACTGTTTCTGTGGGAAGATATCCCAAATAATGAGGTTTTGGAGTACAAGTTGAGGATGCCTACATTTATGGTTTAAGTTGGGGACACTGCGTCTCTCATTGACAAATGAAGAACCAGCAGAAGGGAGATGGGATGGAGGCCTTACATTTCAGATGTCCCCTAGAGTCCAAACTTAGAGGAGCTAATACTGAGAGTAAGCAAGATTATGTGGAGTGGAGATGAGGTCTATGCAACAAAAGCTGGAGGAGAAGGGGTGGGGTAGCGCAGTCATGTATCTCATTCCCGTCCACCAAATACTTAAATGGGTCTATAACAGGTAGGCAGTTTCTGGCCACCCTTTGTATTTTGGACACTCCCTCAATTATATCTTAAATGTAAGCTCTTTAGGGGCAAGAAGCAGACAAGAGTATCTCGTGTTAATTTTCTACGTAACCTACTGACCTTCCTGTTGGTTTTATTTTAGCTGCCACCCTTTTAGCAAAAGCAAAATATTCTTGGGGATGAGTATCTCAAAGGTTTCCTTTTTTCTTCCCCTATACCAGCCACAACTACAGAGTTATTCTGGTAGAATAAATTAAAAATATTCTAACCTAGTCATTCACTTGGGCAAAGTTGTCAGATTATGCCTTTGTGTTTATAGATTCAAAGGTAAAGAGTAATACAACATTTGAAGAATGCCCTTTTCCACATTTCTTCACTAGTAGAACAAATTCATTTTAAGGCAGGTAGTAAATGCAAGGGTGGATTCAGAATAGAAGAGAGAGGAGGGGAGGCTTCCAGAACAACAGAGTAAAGAGCACAGTAGACCCTCTCTCCAGCAAAACAAAACTTTAATTGGTGAAAAAAATTAAAAACTCATTTAAAGTCTCTGGAAATTGTCCTAAGAGCACACAGCAAATGAAGAAACATTTATTTCAAAAAAATATTGATCTCCATAAGAACGATGAGTCTACATGGTCTGACAATTATGTTCATGAACTCATCCTAGAAAAAGTGCTACATACCTCGTTGCTGAATATCACTATGGTCCCCTTCGAAGTACTCCCCTTGGGAAGCTATGCACTGACATGATTGCCTAGTCCATACTTCAAAGCAATTTTGAAACTCTTTTTCTGGAATGGCCATCAGAGCTGTCATCGTATTACCCTTGATGTCCTGAATGTCATCAAAATATCTTCCTTTTAATATTTCCTTTATCTTCAGGTAAAGAAAGAAGTCATTGGGGG